AGGAAGACAAAAGACCAGAACACCTCCTCACAAGCAATCATTGCCCAGATAAGCAGAGATTAACACCAAGATTATCACTAGATTTATAAGCAGTAAACAATACCTTAATCAAGGAACTACCAGAGGAAAAAAATAGAACAAAACAAAACCCACACTCCCACCAACACTGGCAGGGCATGCCACAATATATAAACAGAGAGCAAACCACATCCCATTCTAGCACTGAAGATGGTACCTAGCCAGGTAATGACACATTTGCAAGAAAACAACCAAACTCAGGGAACCCCAAGGACTCCGCAGTTCAACCCTGAGCTACACATATTCTTTCAGGGAAGCAACCAAGAAAGACAGAATGGAACTTCTTTCCAACCATGAAAAGGTTAGAATAAGAATAGATAAATGGCATACATCTGACAGCAGACCAATCTCAGAGAATATGTGACACCTGGATACAACAGAAGTTTCCACCTCCATCCTCCCTTAAGAATGGAACTGATCAACCCAAGAAAGAAGGCATCTCCATCAGCAACCTTCTTTCTTTATCTTGCCTCACCTTCACTTTGAGCTAGCTACCCTACAAATGATGATGTAAGAATGAAATAATAAATTAATAGGAACTGATCACCATTGAAGAGTAATTTTTGCTCCATATTATGCAACATCCAATTCATTTATGAAACTGTGTGATACAGACACACATGCACACACACACAATCCCCTCTCACCTCTATGTGTGGTATGTGTCTTCCTCAATCTCAGGTCCTCTACCACAGGCCTGGGAGTTTGAAGTTTCTGTGCAGCATCTTAGCTGTTCCTAGCACTGCACTTTTCTGGACAGAGAGCTCTGATGTTGTTCCTGAGATGTGTTGGAGCCACACTCCCAGATTAGGAGTCACAACTCTGAGTGCTCGTATCAGAACAGGGACCACTTTGGCCTTTACTTTCCACGTCTCTCTAGTTCCTCCTTCAGGCCCTGGTACTTCTTCAGCTTCTCATATTCCTTCTTCCTGATGATGCTGTTACTAGGCACTGCTACATCTATCACCATCACTGTTTTCTGGTCCTTGTCTACTACCACGATGTCTGGTTAATTAGCCAGTACCTCCTGTCCATCTGGATCTGGAAGTCCCACAGGATCTTAGCCCTGTTATTCTCCACAAATTATGCCAATGCTTGGTCATTGTGATGGAAGGCATGAGCGGGGAAGGTTCTGGAATGGAGCTTCAAGGTTGCCAGGAGA